TGACTCCGGATGGACGCACGGATGCACGGACGGACGGAGACCGAATTATAAGTCCCCGTTTTCGGACTTCGTCCGAACGGGGACTAATAAACATTTGTGAATACTGAGATATTAGGTTATTTAGGGCCTATACATTGTAATTATCCTGGAATAAAATTTTGGTGACAACATTCACCTTTTTTCTCCTATCTAAAATCAACTTCAATAGATTTTTTTTGTATATTATTTGAGAAATCAACATTCAAAAGTTACTAAATAAAACACACTTTAAATTTCAAAAACTGAACAATGAATTAGACTTAAAGCATTTCAGGAGCAAGTATTAATAAGTCATTTAGTTGGTGGATAGTATTTTTTGCTGTGAATGTGTATTTTCAGCACTATTATTAAAAAAATGTTTGAGGAAACTCAATAAGTGTTGTATTTTATTTGCTAATTTAAGTCTGAAACAATGAAATTTCATGAAATCAAAGTATGTTCAAGAAGACGTTTTGAGTAACCAAGGTAACAGAAATCACACTTACTGCAATTATCACTGTATAATGCCTGCTTACACAAAATGTAATTTACAACTTTTTCTGGTAAACTTGCATGCAGGTACACAATCACATGTACACCCAGAATTTATTTCATATCTATACAATGAATGCCCGAAATCTTGAATATGATGAATATCTCAGGATTTTGGTTTCCCGAAAAAATGCAAAAGGCAAACACCCACCTGTTTTTTTATCTTTAGCTCTATATACAACACCATAAGTGCCTTCTTCAATCCTGTTCAGACACTGGAATTCTTCCACACTTCGACAGCCAGACACTGCTGGTAAATACGACGGTAATTCTTCTTTCAGTTCTACTGGTGACATCTCGGGTGAGTCTGGCAAATAGTTGTCCTCACTGGCTGTGGATATATTATCAGCTGTGTCACTAGGGGATGAGTACTCATCAAATTTACTCGGTGGAACTGCAGCTGTAAAGCAAAGCATTGTGAAGTGAAAGTTTTGTAAAACGATCGCCTCTGTTGATTTCAACACAGGGCCTCGGAGATAAAAGTATTTAGAGTTACCTTAAAATCTGTATTAGATGCCGTATCCACAATAGAAGCCGCACCCATACTTTTTGAACAATTGAAAACCAAAAATTCACCATTTCTCATATGTGTAGATGCTCTAATAGAAGCAGTGTCACCTGTGATGTATTGTACCATTTTAATAGAAGATGTGACTTCTAATACAGATTTTACAATAATCACAATTACGAGCCATTTCAAGATTTTACTAAAACAACTGATTCATAGAACGCAGTTCAGCACATCTAACCGATCAAATGCAGATAACAGATGTAGTTAACTTCATTGTATCTTTTAATTCATTGTGGTATTTCAGTGATTTTGCTATGAATCCCAAGATTTTTTACCTGTGAAAAACTATTTGAACACCACTATTCTACTATTTGACTACATATTTGTATGAATCAAATACTGTAGAATACTGTATTTTCGCTTGGAATTACATTTTCGCTATTCAGTGAAAATAAAATCTAGCAAATATACCGTTTTTTTTCGTATATACTTTACATTAAACTTGTCAAAAATCAATGAAAACAAATTCCATACAAAACACACAAAAAGTCTTTTTATCAAAAATTAATTCCAGCTAAAATAAAGTATTTCACAGTAACCTCATGCATATTAATTAGGTCAGAATGTGCTTCAAATCAACACTATTGGTTTACTGCTCCTGATTAATAATGGTTGTAAGGAAAAAAAATATTTTTCAATTCACTTGTCAATTTTTCTTTAGCTGCATCTTCTTTACCACTCTCACTATTATTACTGCTGGAACTACCACTGCTGCTCTCTTCATCTGTAAAACAAATCATTACATGAAATAATCCCTGCCGTTTTCAATGTGAGAGTATATTTTCTTACATGTGAACATTTTTTCTCATGGCTGACTTTTGGCCATCTTGAATCAAATCATGACACAAATTCATATATTTGATATGATTAATGTGTGAAGTATGAAGTTGGTATTCAGAAATATCAATCCAGAACTGCATTCCTTAATACAAAATGGCCTTTAGTTGGCCATTTAAAATCAAAAAATTAAATGACATGTATCAAGAGTCTCACTGTGTTCAATATACAGTTGTATGTACTAAGTGTAATCTTTCCACAGACAACTGATATCCAGTTCAGGAAGAGAAAAATTGTGTGATTTTCACGCATTTTAGATAGTTTCCGTTCCAATGCGACTTCATTTCGAATTTGTCTCTCCAGCAATAGAGCAATTGAGTAGTGAAAACTGTGAATAGTCGTTGTGTTGCAAAACATTACAGCCCATTTTGACCAATTTCACTGGAGATCATAAAAAACTGCGTCATACAAAGTATTTTTTTAAAGGTTTGAGGAAAGGTAAATTTAGACTCAACCAACCCAATGGCGATCGCTATGCTAATATAACTGTATGACAATTTTCACGCAAGGTTTTGACTTCGCGGATGATTTTATGTCCGTTTCCCTCAAGTTGTAAATATTTTTATTTTATTTTTTTAACTGACGATTGAACATTAGCATGCGTCGGTGTATGGTGGATTTTGGCATGTTGTTGTGATGCATTCGCCATTTTTGTGGACGATAAACATCACTTTTATAAAACGGGCATTATCTCCGTTCATGTTTTCTGGTTGGTCAGAGAGATTAATTAGCTTTTTTTCGGTTTGTCTTGAAATTTTCACACTATTTTGACGACGTCTCTACGAACAAAAGGACACCTTAGTTTATTTTTAAACAACTTTGTAATATGACAACAAAACATTTGTCAATAAACAACTGATTAACGTAGTGTGAAAGTTTCACTTGAAATAAACAACCATTGTGAGAGCTATTTAGATTTGAACTTGCCTGGTAAACTGAAAAACACAAGTAGATAATGGCTAATTTGCATAATGATTCACTCAGTAAGAAGTTTGCTAATGGTCATAATAATTACAATGGCTGTAACAGTCCCAAATTTAAAGCTATTATCATTTTGTAAAAAGTTAAATATGGTGCATAATATGGAAATCATGTCATTACTTTTTTTCACCATGTTTGTTTTTCATTATTCATGTACAGCTTTGCTAAATCTGGCTAAGCATTCAAAAGAGAGAATGTATATTTTAAAATCATCTTTCAAGTATGTTCCACTATTCACAATGCTGCGAAATGCAGTCTATAGCCAAGACTGTTTGGATAATAAAAAGCAAAAAATAAATAAAAATTCACTCCAAAGTGCCCACAAACCTGCGTCTGTACCTTAAACTGTTTCTATTTCCTCCAATACTCACCATACATAAGAATACACCCAGTTATGCATTTACCTGACACGGATTCGGATTCGGATTGTGACGCTGACTCAGATTCTTCTTCTGACGCCTCTTCAGCACTACTGGCGCTCTTCTCATCCTGTTCACCTTCGTCTTCTTCTTCTTCGTCGTCATCATCATCACCACCATCATCTTCATCCTCCTCTTCCTCAGATTCAGATTCTGACGCTGCTTCTATTTCATTATCTGACTGTTCATTGTTAGACGATTCACCAGCACTGCTTATAGCCTCATTACCACTGGCATTTATCTCCAGTACATCAGCTTCGTCTATGGTTTCTTTCTTAACTTCCATTCTCTCTGGTTCTGTGATAAAAGAAATATACAAATTCAAATTTTGCACAACTGAGCACGTTATTGCACATATATTTATACAAATTACAATGCATAAGAATTTAATATTGAAAATATTGAAAAATATTGGAAACTGATTAAATTATATGTACATTTATATGAATAATATATGACTTTAGAACTCATGTCACAAAGCAAAAGTTTGAGATAAGAAAAAAAAAGTCATTGTTAATAACATAGTTCCTGTTGAAATTAGGGGAATGGTCTAGTATCAACAGAAATTAGATGTATTAAATGACTCATCCAAAATCGTAATATATGGTCAGAAATTAAACAGGATATGCTATTCATGCACTTTTTGTATCCAAACAAAATTTCATTTGTCAAGGCGCATGTACAGAGTTTTAAAACACAAAACGAAACATCATAGACATGTATATCAACATGTATACATGTAATGTTTGTATCAAATTTGAATGAAAACCAACAAACCCTGTCCAAGATATGGATGCCAGTCGGCCATATTTGATCTGATTATGAAACAAACTGACATGAACATGCATTCCTATATATATGATGTACGTCCATGTGCCAAATATGATAGAAAATGGTCCAAGCCTTGGAGATATAGTAGTAGTCAATCAGTCAATCAGCCAACATCAGTCAGCCATCTTTGATCTGATTATGAGACAGTAATCTAAAATGTATGTATTAAATTTGAACAAAAACTGATAAAGCATGCATAAAATACCACATTTTCAAAAAACAAAATGGCTGCCAGTCAGAATCAGTAAACCACTGTGCGTGCATATATTCCAGATAAAGTACTAGCCACATGCAAAGAATGATTTGGCTCACAGGGTTCTGAAATATGACTCTGGACGTACGGACGGACGAACGAACAGATGGACGGAAGGATGAATTACAAGTATAACAAACCTTCATGCTTAACTGGTGTATTCCGTTCACTCTGTCTGTCACTTTTCTCAAGTCTCTCTCTGCTTCTGCCTTGCTGACTTCGATCTTTACGCCGATCCCGTCGATCCCCTCGTTGCCTTCGCTCTGAAATAACCAACCAGGCAAATATTTATCGTTGATAATAAGATTCAAACCATTCAAATGAAAACATTTGTTTCTATAATCAAAAATCACCTTGATTATAGCAAGGCTTAAAAAAAGTTTACGCTAAGTGTACCAAACATGTATCTAAAATTTAATGTGAGCCAGAAATTCCTGTATAAATTGCTTTCAAATTAATTGTAAATTTATCCCTACATAAATATACACAAATACCATTTCACAAACATAACAGGTATTGATTGAATGCCACAAATATTTGGGACTGATAATTTGCAATAAATGACTTGGTTGCAACACTCCCAGTACGTTCTACTATCTATTGCTTGTAGGCAGTTTTGCAATACGTAAGTGCTACAGAATGTACAAACCTGATGAATTACTGCCACTGTCATGACCACCACTTCGCCTCAAATTTTCCATCCGACTTCTCTCGCGTTCTCTTTCAAGTCGTTTTTCTCTATCTCTTTCTCTTTGTCTCTCACGTTCCAGTCTTTCAAGCCTCTCCCTGCAAACACAGAATCCATAACCATAAAAACAACACATGCATGGAATCCAACAATGTTTCATGCCAAAATGTTATTGAAAGCTTTCCATATATTTTTTCCATCTTTTTTTATATCATAAAAGACACCATGACCTTATCTCTCAAGAGACCCAGTAAAAATGATTGATTTACCGATCTTTTCTGGATTCTTCTCGTCTCATTGCTTGTTCGTGCATATCTCTCGGTTCTCTTCGTGGTCTCTCATCTATTCTACTTCTTTCTCTGTCTCTACTACTCTGTTTAACTTCGTGTCCACTACGTGATCGTTTATCTGAACACAGAATTATTGATATCCATTGTGAGATATTACTGGACAATTTTAAAAAGTGTTACAACAAATTTGTAGATTTTTCATGCATTTTTCTATTATGTATTTTTCTATTTATGTTAATTTTTCCATTGCTTACAAAAATTGATAAAATATAAAAAAAAATTGAGTTTATGAGAACAACAGTCGAACTTAACATTCAACAGTTTTCAAGAAGAAGTTGAAAAAGTAAATAGTTGACGCAAACGACTATGGGCAATCAATCGGATAATATGCTCTGCTTGACAAAGTCAACAGCGGAGTTAAAAGGTAATAAACTGCAGGGCTAAATCTTTGATGTCCAATTTAAACCTGTGCTACAAACTAGGAATTAATGTCTAAGAAATCAACCATAAATTAAGTTAAGCTAGCGAATGAACTCAATTTCTTGAGCATAAATAAGTGAAGTACAGTAAAATGAACATTTCTATTTTTATTTATGAATTTAAAGCTATTATGCGTTTTCATTTCGGTTTCAAAGATAGCTCAAGCAAAATACGAGAAAAATGTGATATTAAATTTTGTTTAAATGCCAATAGTGTTAAATGGAATTCGACTATTGGTAAAATAGTTTAAGCTCAGGTGGCCAATACTATAAATATATATTTTTTTTCCAGTTTTTTACGACCTTGTGCAGCCATTTCGCAAACAGGGTGAAGCAGGCTTTCATGACAATATATGATCGTTCTAAATAATTTACACTATTCAGCCAGTGGTGGCAAAAGTGATATAATTTGTTGGAACAAAACCATAATGGCTATTGGTGATAAGTCAGAGGAAGCCCAGGATTTCCACTAATAATTTCAAAACATGAATTATAACACTGTCAAGTAACAAACGCACTCACGTTTATGTCGTCTTTCATGTTCATCTTTATCTCTACGCTTGTCTTTCCTTCTGTCTTCCTTTCTGTGTGATCTACTGTTTTTTTTACTCACTAACTGCGGCGGTTTGATATCCAATGCATCATCAAGCCTACAACATAAGGTATTTGGTAAATATTAAAACATACATGTATGGGAGTCAAGTTGAATCAAGAAATACAGATTGAACATAATAGAATCATGTGTTAGCACAGTTGGTCCCCTCCATTAATTGAACCACCTAATTTTGATAACTATGGTGATTGGATTTTTTTTGTTCATTCCTGTTCATGAACTGGCAGAAATGAACAATCAAAAGTTTAAGTTAGTAATTTTAGAGTCAATGCTGCAGGTAAAATGTGTGATATAAATGTGCAGAACAAGCATGATGAAAAGATAAATACCGGTAATACATGACTGAATGCGATCAATGGGCAATGTCACAGAGATATTTAGAGAAATAAGAAAGTGATTGCGCAGGGTTCTCCACGAGGACGCCCTGTTTAAATTGTCAGCGCCCTGTTATATTTCCTGTGCGCCCTGCATGGTCCCAGACAAAGAATTGTTTACATAACAGGCCAACACTCATTGTCTTCCGAAAATGATTCATCGTGCTCAGGGTAACTGGTTCATTGTTTTAAGGTGCAACTGTGAAAATTCCGGTTTGTTATCGTAGCAGGTCACCGTGAGGTGATAACACCACCAAACAAAAAGTTACAAGCTTTTTCAACACGATTAAAAATGAACATGTGGCCTAGAAAAGTGCATTACCGTACCCATATTTTTACTGCCAGGGTGACGTCAAATATATGAAATCGTTATCGGTAAAACCATTCGTTAAACACAAGGTCTATGGTAAAAACCAAGTTCACGCCGTGACTAAGTAGCGGCAACATCGTCATCGCCGAGTTAACAAACTTGTTACATCTTTTTCTGGACGCGATCATTACTTGTAAACAACTGATGTCGCCGCTTGAGGAATCGTGCAGCTAAAATCAGCTGATTGTACGTGCTGACGTTTACTTAATAATAGCTCTTCAAAATTCCTATTCATTTTGTAATAATAAATATATATTATGCATATGTAATAATATGTAGATTAATAGATTTTTTGGTTTCCATTTTTCAACATCCTTGCCAATGATGCATGTTACAAATGTGCCACGCCCACTTCACATTGGCGCGCCCTGTTTAATTTTCAAACCGTGGAGAACCCTGTTGCGAGTGTGGAAACAATACGTTCCACGAAAATCTGTACTATGTCATCAGATTATATCATCAGATGTTACCGATACCTTTCATCTTCGCTTCCCTCTTGCATAGCCTCTTCACCTTTTTGTAATTCACCTTCTTCAAGACTTGACCTTCCTTTGTCTTGTTTTTCCTTCCGTTTCCGTTTCTCCTCCAATATTTCGTCTAGTGTTTTAACTCTCCAATTGTCCTTTTTGCTATCATACTCGTTTATTTCAGAGTGATGGTCAGAATCGCTCATGATATTTTCTATGAAAATAAATAAAGTGTAATTAGACCAAACACACAAAATTATGCGCATACCATTACATGTCAGGGATCATTCTACTCTTCAGCCATTCTGGCAATTTAAGACCGATTGAGCTAATTTACGCAATTCAGACCATTTTGAAGATATTTTTATAGCATTAATACAGTGCATGTTTAAGAGAACCAAGTGAGCTATCCAGATAACATGATCAGAATTACTCAGCTGGATATTTGGTGGGAAAGTTGAAAGCTAAACTTAAAGCATGATAATTGTTGTGACATGTATGTCATTGATTTACCCACAACCCACTGTGCTCTAATAATTCAATATACCGGTAACGACAAATATGCACACAGGACTTGAACTTCACAGAGGCATTGAAGGCCCAATGTCAATGTACTAGACGCCCAATGAGAGTACTTTTGATATTCTATAATAATATCTTTATTACACTTTAATGAATAATATGAGGTTATTATGAGGATACCTCAAAGTATGTACAAAGACAGTACACCAGGAATATCAACCGACGCACAGCGGAGGTTGATGCGACGGCGTACTGTCTGAGTGCATACCTTGAGGTATCCTCGCAATAACCTTATATTATACATCTTTTCCTTCCAAGGATACATCATGGGAATGCCGAAATCCAAAAAGTTTAGAACAGAATCAGCGAACTTCTTTGTGTGGAGTCCGGTAAAACTGCGGTGGCAGCCATGTTTGTTTTTATTATTAGAGGACGCTTATGCGTATAATCATTCCATATTTGAAATTCGCAATTCCTAATATGGTAGGATGAAAATACCCCATAAAATACTGCAAAATTACGGCACGCTATAACTTGTGGCGTTACGGTGACAGATGTACATGTATAATAATTATAGTTCATCTTAAGTTGAAGTAAACAAAGTATAAAAAGTAGAACACAAGGCAGGCCAGCAAATCTACGGAAAAGAATTATCGAGGATAATGCAAAGTATGCACGAAGACAGTACAGTGGGAGTAACGACCAACGCGTAGCGTAATCGTTGCTTATTTGGAATTCACTTTTCCTAATATGGTAGGATAAAATTACCCAGTGCAATACCGCAAAATAACGACACGCTGTAACTTATGGCGTTATGGTGACAGATGTATATATATGTATATATATGATATATGTTATTCCCATGTGCTATGGACATTTTAAAAATGTTTGTTTTGACAATCGGTACCTTCTACATTCAGTTCAGCCCTGCATGTATGTGCTCATGACAGGATATGCAGAGAATCATAATTTACCTATACAAATTTTGATGATATCTTTTTTCTTGTATACTCGAATCTGTCAAACATTCAATGTCATTTCTGGGCAGGACTCCAGAAGACGTACCTACACTTTATGCAATTTTTTTTAATTATGCTAATTTATTCATGACGTAGCAGTTTCTGTGCTCATGAATATTCATTAATTTGTGGGTCAATACATTTTAAAAGGGGCGATATATTATTTTTGGGGGAAGAGTTAGAAAGGGGGATCAGTAATCATTAGGGGGTCAATACAAAAGAAGGGACCCATTTGGAGAGCAGCCATGCTCGTGTCTGTTGTTGCACGTGACCTACAGCTGTCAACTGTGTTCGTTCTTCGTCGACTTCGACTGGCTTCCATGTGAGGTAGTATTCTTGTGTTCTGTTTTTCTGATTTGAGTTTTTGAATCCGCT